CGGCATCCTTCATTTGTCACCTGGATTGACATAACAAGTGAATATGGAGTTACTAGCAGGGACCAAAAGAGGATCGTACTCGTGTGGCGAAGCTTGGATTTCAGCCCCGTTTGCGTCCGCTTGGCATCCGCCCACTCGGTAGCCGCCTTGTCTCGCTGGAGCTCGCTGTCCGCCAACTTCGCTTGGGTCTCGTCGCGCAATTGAGTTATACGTACGAACTCTTCGAGCGCGAAATATCGCCCAGCAGACGCTTTCTCGAGCGACTCCTTGGTATCTTTCAGCTCCTCAGAGAGTCGAGCCAGAGCTACATCCGGCGACGAGGGAGGTGGATTTGGCGCGGAGGACTCTTCACGCCCCGACCCTAATGCGGTTCCTCCATGGGTGGATCCCACATAGTCGTTGGTTACAACCTCTTCTTGGGTCAGGCGCAGCTCGTCACGGAGTTGATCCAAGCTCGCGTCCGCGGCTGCCCTACCAGTCTGGGAATCCTCCAGATCCCGCTCGAGGTCGTGGATCCGGGATTGGAGCTGGTGGATCTCAGATCCGGCGAGCGCCATCTCCCTAACGAGATGGTCGTTGTCATCTCGCATACCATCTCGTTGAAGGGAGGTGCGATCCAGCCGTCAGGTCAGGTCGCGGATCTCGACCGCTTGATCAGCCAACAAGAGTCGTAGGTCCGGCGAACGAGAGCCCGCACGGTGCTCCCACCCCTGGATCTCCATAGCCTGGTCATGGACCTGGGATCGCAAGGTTTGGAGTTGAATGGCGTGCAAAGACGCAGCTTGGTCGTTAGCATCTTGGGCCGTCTGGAGCTCCGCCATCAAGGTTTGCACCCGATCTGAAAGAGCCTGGGCTAGAGTACGCAGATCGGTGGGTGACATTGAAGAAGGGCTGACCGGAGGAGTGGTGAATGGGGCCTTGCCCGGCGATTTGCTGGTACGCTTGGTGGGAGACATGTATCACGTAGAGGAGGAAGCGGTTGTGGATGCTGGTAGTGCACGTCGTGAACGCTGTTGTGTAGCGCCGACAACGTACAGGACGCGATTGTGGTGAAGTGCTTTCTCAGAAATAAGAGAATGGACCTAACGCGGGGTCACTATCCCGAATCAGTGACGAGTTCAAGTGATTAGAGAGGATTTGACTTGTCTGGCACGGATGCAAGTTGCCTGTGGCGGCTTAGCCATAATGAGCAACACCCCGTACGAAATGACGGTGGATCTGGTATGAGTGATGTACGGGAAGGCAAGATCCACCAAGACTTATCTCGGATCCACCCTTACCTGGATTCACTTAGATGGATATGGGATATACTATATAAGGGTGGATCGAGTGTGGATCCTATGAACGAATGATGGAAGGTGCCCTCTGAAGGTGGATTTAGTAGTCACGGCTAACAAGAAGTCAGGATCCGCCGCGAGGTGTCCCGGATCCCATACTTCCGAATTCAGATCCAAGGAGGGAGGATCCCGCATGGTGGATCTCGAACTTTCGTGGGACAATGGAGATCACAGACGGTTGCGAGATGATGTTGGATAATTTGAGAGCTCAGATCCACGACGAGTGTGCACTTACAGTGAAGTGGATCCAAGCGACCTGGATCCGAATGAGTGTACCCATAATAGGGTGACCATAATGATTACGCCGTGGATCCGTTGGAGCTGAAGATAATACAGCTGGGGTGATGGGTCAAGGGAAGAAGGGACATGCAGCCGAGCCTGGTAAGGAATTTAACAAGTGAAAGACATAGAAGGTAGAAATCCAGCCAGGTATAGGCTTAAGTATCAATACAGTCTTCAATTTGCACAATAACACGCAAGTGCCTTCCTACCCTCAAGAACCGGAACTACATTGGCCGTACGAGCTCGGAGAAGGTTAGGAATTACGAATCTTGTGTTGACAGTGATAACTGGATAATGCATTGGCCAGATCCTACAACCTAGTGAGCTTTTCCTATACACGTGCAGATCCGACAGGTTAACCGAATTTACTACTTAGTCGGTTACGCCCTAGAAGGTCTCAACTCTCAAGATCCCGTCACAGGAGGCGGCAAGTACGACGTAAAGGAAACGCAAAGGCAAGGGACACACCCACAAGGCAACCCTACGGCCAGATCCACGATCTAGGCCCTGGATCCGTAAGCTCGAATATTCGCTTAGGATTCGGAACCATCCACGGACGCAGAGTGAAGAATTTCCACTGCTGCTCCACCCCATCCCCACGTCTCGCCAAGACACTCAAGCTTCACCACTTGAACTCTTCGGAAGTTACCGAGAGAGCAAGATCCAGCCCTACCGACGGGTACACAAGGTGAGGAAAGTTCAGCAGAACACGGATCATCGGGGGGCCCCCTCCGTTAGTCGGTGTCTGGGCGCAGTTGGTAAGTTGGATCCAGCAATCTCGCAGATTTTGCTGACCCCGCTACACCACAAGGCCACGAGGAGCGACGAGAAGCTCTAGGAAGCCGTCCGCCCCAGAGCTCTCCCCAGGAGGCCAATACCCTCTTGAGTTGATGGCAGCTCCCTGGCTGACGGGTGCCACCACCGAGCCCCCACGCATACGCTGGGCAGCTTGGAAGCCCTCCTGCTGCTGGTCGAGGTCATTCGTGATCTCCCGGGACTCAGAGATAGCATTCTCCTCCTCCTCTTCCTCCTCCTCCTCTTGCTCCTCCTCCTCCTTCTTTTCCTCTTCATCCGAGGAGTCGAAGAGGCGCCGACGGGAGTGCCGAGTCTCCTTCTCCTCGTGGGGGTGAAGACTTAGAAGCTGTACTCTTCTTAGAGGGTTTGGCGCCTTCATCTTTAGAGGTCTTAGCACGTGCAAGACCCTCGGCGAGACGTTTGCGAGGATTCTCTTCATCGCCCCCAGTTTTTAGAGCTCCCTTAGCCTTGACGGCCGGACTCTCAAGCACACAGACGTTCTGGGACTGTGGTCACCTTGATCACTAGCGCGCGACTGCACGCTGTCGTCCTTGTGCTCTCTAGGCACTGGGCTGTGCCCTCCCGCAGAGCCCGCAGGAGCATCGTTCGTGCTTTCGGACTCGGCTTCGTCCTCACTGCCAGAGTTGAACTCACGTTCAACGACCGAGGGTTCGGACGGTGGTCTGGAGAGGCCGAGGGCGACGGGCTGTGGCACTTGCTTGCTCGCTTGCCCATAGCCACGTCACCCGAGGAACCGATCGTCTCGGAGGCCACCTGAGTAGCCTCCTGTAGTGCCGATCCTTTGCTTCGAGGCTTAGTGCTCTTGGCTTGAGCCTTTCCGGTAGCATCCTTGAAGCGTGTCTTCGCACCGCTCTTTGCGGTGCCTCGGGGCATGGCAGACGGTCGAAGTGGAGACCTAGAAGAAGAGCGCACAGACTGCTGCTCGAAGCTCTAACTGTGAAGTGAGCCTCCCCCGCCCTTGGGCGGCCAAGTCGATGGTTTTCGACTTTGAGAATGAAAGTTTGTGACGAACACTTCTTTATTCTGATTTACGGTAAACCTAACCTAAGTGGGGGAGGATGGAACGGGGTACGTAGCCCTAAGTGTACCCTGATTACATGAAGTATGACACTTCACACTTCAGGTGTATGACACGTCATACTCCGGGATATTTGGTACAAAATACCAAGGGCGTTCAAAGCCAACTATTGGTCAAACGACATTGCATTTCTATAGGTAGCTTATAGCTTGTATTAAACCCAAACTTAACCTACCTTTAAATATACTCAGTTTACAATCTACCTTATTTATGTCACTTCGCTCTCTTTTGATAAAGATGGGACCTGTGAGCTGCCGTTAACGGAGAGTTTGTAAAGTCTCGGAAGCTAACTTTCTCTAGCGCAAGGTGCTGTGTGACCCCGTCACATTTTCCGTTGGAGTTTCAACCCGTTATGTTGTCGTCTGGTAAGGTTACTAACTTAAGCCTTAGGGCCCTTCAGCACTTCGGCGGCGGTCGATTTTTTTATCGTCTCTGAATCAACTCGTTCTTCTCCAGCGGTCGCCATATACGTTCTTCTGAATCTGTAGCTGAGCGTAGTTGGGATCCCCGTTGTTGCTTTTTAAATCCACGATGTCGGCTCTTCCTATCCTTGCGAAATAGAACTCGCCAATTGTTGGATTGTTCAACCACTAATAGGCAACGTGAGGTGAGTTTAGACCGTTGTGAGACAGGTTAGGTTTACCCTACTGATGAGTACGTCGTCTAAACAGTAATCCAATCCAGTACGAGAGGAACCGTTGGTTCAGAAAATTGGTAGCTGTGGTATGGTAACGGGGTACGGAGTACCCAGAGAGCTAACTGACTCTTAGTACATCATGATAGAAGCTTTGCGTAGCCAACCCGAGAGTTGATGTTGATTGCTGCCAAAATTGGTTTCTTCTCTCAAAACGCTAGATCTATTTGCCACGAGTTGGGGTTATGAGAAGCAATCCTGAACCCATCGAACCGTTTTTCTGCTCTTGAAATCGTTGTATCTCAGCTTGGCCCTGGTACCAGTCTTTTCTAACGTAATTTTATGGTTTAAATCTTTTGCCTTTTGATATAGCGCTTGAGCGCCAATATAAACCGTTTTGGGATCATAGTACAAGTTGTGTAATAGATCAGCCATGTTTAAGCTATTCCTATACGAGATGTCATAGAAAATATGCTTTCCTCCCAGAAGCATATGAATTATATCTCCAATGGAGCAGTCGAGATGCCATCTTCGAGGACTTGGCGCTTATCATAATAATATGACAAGGCCGTCTTCGTCTGACTATACGTAATAATTGACTTTGTCTCCTTACTCAGTCGAAATCCCTTGTTGGTACCTTGTAGCGTGATACGGTCTCGGACAACAGTCTCGAAACATTTTGGGCTTGAAACATCCTCATTGCGACCACGACCTTGCTGAACGCCCTTTGCTGAAACCTTGACCTTGTAGGACTCGTCCGGTAGATAGCAGATGCAGTTCTTGGATGAGAGAGAGACCATCGCATTACCTGTCCATTCATCTTTGAATAATACTGGTGTACGTCGCTCGAACTTCGCTACCCCTTCGTTGTAGTCGCGTGGGAACCACTCGTATTTATGCTTTTGGAAGTACTCTCGTAGCTCAGGCTTGATACAGCTCTGAAAAGGTTTCTCACAACTGAAAGCCATGTATGCTGAGTCAGTATCCATTTCCTGATATTGGAAATCGGAAGTCGATGCAGTCGTAGTAGTATTGTAGCATTCGGAGCTTGGCTAGCTGATAGATAGCAATACTGAGATGAATGGGGTTCTTGTTCTTGAGGCGACGTTTTTTTAAAGTAATCTCACAGGAACCATTGAGCTTTTCTAATCCATGGAATGTGAAGTGCTCAATCTTTAACTTTACTACCTTATCATCTGATTCGTATTTGACTTCTTTAGGCTTACTCATATCCATGCCACTACGCCCAAAAGCACTATTTCCTACCAATTTCATCATCTCGGCAATCATAGCCTTAGACTTATCAGCATCCCCCCCCTGTCGAGCATTGGATACAGCTTCCATAAATGACGCAAATGCTTTATGAGAGCTGGCCTTGATGAAGCTGTACGTCTTGGTTATTTCCATCCCATGGGAGAGATACCACTTCAGTAATGGCGTGTAAATGAGTATCTTCTCTCCGAAATAGCTTCCAATTAGCTTGCGAGCTGGTTTGGATCTACTTTCTTGCGTGCGTTATTGTAGCTAAGCATATGAGACCCAATAACCTTCTTGTCGGTGCAATCGATCAAGACATTTTTATAGACTGGGGTCATCTCACTGAAATGATCTCTCAAGCGGTCTGGTGTACGAATATCACACTCAAGGAAACCGAAGATCTTATCGGCCTCGATATCTTCAATAATACCGTCGATCGTACTCAATCGACCGCATGGCATCTCATTGCCAAGCGCCCAAAGGTATAGTGCGTTGGCGTCATAACCAATGATCTTCTTACAAATCTTTCCACCTCGAATCTTCGTCTCGTTGCGCTTGGCATATCTATTAAAGATAATTGATGGACCGCCAGCGATATTAGCTTTCATCATCTTAGCGTAGATGCATCTCCTCCTTATCAATGCTATAACCTAGCCTGTCTGAGTTGAACTCAAGGAGCTTCTTGTATCAAAATCCCTTTAACGACATATCCTTACTAGCAACGTTGCACTCGATACAACTGATCAAGATGTTGCTATCGATATGCCCCAATTTGTTATTAATACGATCGCCTGAGGCCGTCTCGATAGTTAATTGCTGGTAGCATAGCCCCCAAAGCAATTTCTGCTGATGTAGCAGCTTGTCTAGATGTTTGAGACTCATATTGAACTCGCGGTTAGCACTAGCATCCTGGATTTTGTACCCGTCTAAACGTTTAGCTGGGAATTGGAACGCACTTGCAGGTTTCTTACTAGGGTGCTGGAGATTATTGAAACATGTCTGATACATAACCTTTTCCGAAAGACCTGGTAAGGATACCCCATCGGTGAACATATCGAGGTCAAAGCTCTTGAATAGTTCGCGTTGAGCCGTAATGGCCTTAATGTATGGAGCGACATCTAGGTTATTGTGCCAAACTAGAAGCTCCTTAATCGACTTCATCCCATAGTACTCCCACACAAACTGTACCCGCTTGTAGTCATCAACACTAATGCTGGTGCCACGAAGCTTACTATCGAATGCTGACTTAGGTTGGATACTACTCTCACTGAGAACATCAAATGAAGTAATGTGCTCGTACGGGAATATACCCTTACCTAGCCCACACATACGCCGAACCTTGTCATCACAACTGCACTCTCCGAGATATGTGCTAAGATACTTGCTATAGCTAGTTCCAGCTGGAACGTAGCTGCTGATGTCGAGCATTTATATGTCCGATGTTGCGATACACATGTAAGAAGGGTTCTTGATAACTGATTTGATATTGTCTGTCCCAATAACGGCGAACAAGTCGCTCTTGATTAGGTTGATATCAAATCGACCAGAATTGAATCCAAGTGCTGGTACCTGATCAATCCTTTGTTTAATAATACCATATCAGAACGCTCCTTCCCGAAGCCTAGTTTGATGAGAAGAACGAAGAAACTAGCAAAATCGCCGGCCGTAATCCAATCATCTACAGCATTGGTATTATACTTCTTACCAGGTTTAGCACCTGGAATCTCCATACCACTCAAATCATGAGCATTGATGATCTTGCGAAGCAATGACTCATACTTGGAGACATTGTGTAACGGGGTTGCATGGTGTAGAACACACAGGGGTACGAAGTACCCGGAGAGTTAACAAACTCTCAGTACATAAGTTGGAGAGTTAACAAGGTCTCTCAGTACGTTGGCTGAAAGCCACACGTTATGCATTTGATTAGGTTTACCTATGCTAGATAGTTAAACAGATACATTTACCCCTAGGCGGCTTGGCCGCAATAATAGTAAATAAAACACTTCTGGTTATGAAGCATAAAAGTTAAGGTATTATCTTTAAGCCCTGGTCTTGGGCTGTAAGTGTCCTTTGGATAAGGAACTTAATATTAGTGACTCTTTGAGTCGAACGTCTTCCTCTGACGCTAACGCTACGGCAGCCCCGCTGCACTTGGTAGCACACGTAGTCAATCCCGCTCTTGAGTCGGTTGACTATATCCTCTGCGAGGATGGAACACCCCGTGTTCGCGAATTTGCCCCCGGCGCAGCAGGACGCGCTTACTAAGCTTATGTCCTTGCTTGGCCCGGAGGGCGTGGCTCATCTTGCATCATAAGGTCCAAAGGCGGTCACCGCAAGGCTGGAATCGTTATCCCGCTACGAGAACGCGCTCTTGGAGCACGTCCAAGAGAAAATGAGCGGCGCAACGGCGGCGGCGTCGATGACGCGTGAAGAGTCTATGAGACTGAAATCGCTCATGGTGAGCGTAAGAACCTTCGAGAAAAGGATGGAGAGAATCGCCTTTTTGGACCCGTGAGGTAGAGAGGGGTGAGGTGTAGTAACCTCGCATCTAGGTCTAAGACCAAACAGCGCTCCACGTTATCGAAGTTCTCAAACTTCACTCCAAGGTCGACAGAGAGCTACCAGTGTCCCCGCCGCGAGACGGACAGAGATCGTATCTCTCGTTGGCACTTCCAGTGCTTCAGCATACAGCTGACTCCCTTCTAGGGTGGAGCGACGGGCGTAGTTGCCCGAGGCTCCCGAGTCAATCAAGACTCTCCATGGCTTTGCAAAGCCCTTCACGTTCGCTTGAACGACCAGCAAGCCCGGCTTGCATACCCTCTTCTCGTAAGAGCGGTCAGCTCTCTTCGGGGTTGAGCCTTGTTGCCCTCTACCTCTTTGAGGCACTTCAGAACTCAGTTCTTCCCCAGTAGGCGCGGGGCGGCCTACTGGGACTTGCCGTTTCCCAGCGATGACCCAGAGGGTTGGCTCGCCGGGGCCTCCCGCTTCTTGCGCAGAGGGAAATAGGCCCTCAAGTGATGGTACTGCTGCATTCGGTGGGGGTGACATAGACGTCGCCACACCGCTCTCATCCGGCCGGGTCGCGGAGGGAGAGGAAAAGAAGACGCAGGGCGTCTGTGACGTTTCGACGTCGGACGATGTGTCCAACGTGTCGAGCAGTGATGCTCCACGTAATTGCTGTGAACAGCTGTATACACTCGTGAACGGAGTGACGGAGGAGGTAGAAGATGATACCAGCCTTGACACTCTGCCCGCTGCAGATGCTCTGCTAAAGCTGGACGATATGTCCATAGCCGAGTTTGGCGAAGCCTTAAAAGCAGGCGAGCTAGCTGAGGTGGTCCTGCTGGAACCTGAGGTGTCGAGTTGGTTAGAAGGAGGCGGGTGAGGCGAAGAAGGAGAATTAGAAAGTGAGTGAGATTAGAACTTACGCAAAGCCTGCTTACACCTAGTCTGCCTGCAGTCCTTGGGTATCGTGTCCAGTCCAGCACGCTGTCGTGTCCTGCCTTGAAGTAGACCTTGAAGTTGCCAAGATGACTCAAGTTACCGTTGCACCTGCGGTCTTACCACTTGATGACGCGTGATATGTAGACCGTGTGCCGCACTGTGCTCACAGAGTAGCACGTTCCGACACTCCCACTCGGCACATGCCAAGTCGCGTGACGAACAAGCTGAACTTTGCTTGTGGCAGCGGCTTGGTGAACATATCCGCAACCATGACCGCGGTCGAACAGTACACAATCTTGATTGTTTCGCGCTGCACTTGCTCGCGAATCCAGTGATAGCGGAGGTCAATGTGTCGCGATCGTTGCGAGACGCCCTTGCCTTCAGCCACATGCTGAGCTGCCTGGTTGTCCTCGTGGACTATCACCTTGCCCACGTCAAATCCCAACTCGAACAGCAGCTGCTTGAGTCCGATACACTCCTTGGCTCCGTGCGCTAGAGCAACATACTCTGATTCAGTGGTCGACAGCGTAACAATCGGCTGCTTCTTCGACCCCCATGCAATGCAGCACCCGTTGAGGAATATAACGAATCCCGTCGCCGACTTGCGCTCGCGCTCGCAAGCAAATGCAGCATCACAATACACTTCCAGCTGCAGCTTACGCTGAGAAGATCGACGGTAAACAATCCCCATGTCGGCCGTCCGCGCGATATAGCCAAGTACACGCCTAACTGCATCTTGTACAGTGCGGGTCGGCTGCTCGGTCTCTTGTGCGATCAGGCGAACTGCTGTTGCAAGATCAGGTCGACTAACCGTTGATGCGTACAGCAGTGAACCGACTTCAGGACGGATCGACTCATCAATGACTTCGGTGTCGTCGGCTACTTGGCGTTGGAAGTTGCTGTTCATTGGTGTCCGGGGTTGCGACCTGTCACCATGGCTGGCGAACCGCTTCACAACGGTGGCGGCGTACTTCTGCTGTGCGATCGTCAGCACATCACCGTCCTTGTTCCAGCCTAGCTCCATGCCCACGAAGCTGCTTGAAGCATCGCACTTGTTAATCGCGAACCGACTGGTGATGCTGGCTTGAAATGCAGCAAGCTCCGATGCCAAGTTGCTGAAAATTAGCATGTCGTCTACCTAAAGTAGCACAACCACAATGCTGTCAGTAGTCCGCTTCACCAAGACACAGGAGTCCGACTGGCATTGCACGAATCCAGTCTCGCACAGGAACTTGGCCACGGTCTCATACCAAGCGCGTGATGCCTGTTTAAGCCCGTACAGGGC